GTGCAGAAGGCTTCAACTACTTTGCACTCGGAAAGCAAGACTGGGATGAAGCTGAAAGGCCCAAAAAAGGAGTTTGTCCTCCTGGAGCATTGGGACACCAAGTTGAACGGAGAATTGGACGAGTCCAAGGTAGTGCAAGAGGTGTGGCAGGGCAAAAAATTGAAAGGCGTCTGGAAGACGGTGGGCCGGGTCGGCGTGCTGACGGGGGAGCAGTACGAGGACACCAACATGTCTCAACGAACTGAAGAGCACAGCGGCCACGGGCCCTTTGCCGAGGAGGCATTGGAAACCAAGCGGGAAGTTCTTCAGAAGGTGCTCAATGACGCTGAAGAAGAGAGGCAGAAGCACTCTGTGGCCGCAGGCCCTGCAGAAACACGCGGCGGCAACGTGCTGCAGCAGCTGCAGAAGCTGCTTCCAAGCTTGGGCCTACGTGACGCGCTGCAGAGTGAGCCTGCGCCGAGCTCTGAGGCTGCAGAGGCTACAGAGGCAGCAGAAGAGGAGGAAGAGCCCTCCGAGCAAGAAGAAGAGAAGGGTCCGGCGGCGCGCCTGGTCGCGAGGCTGGGCGGGCCCAAAGCAGCAAAGGCAAAGCCCAAAGCTGCGGAAAAGACAAGCGCCAAGCCCCCGTCCAATTCCGCCTCGAAAGGCGCAGCCAAGGTACCAGGGCAGCCTGCCAGCGCTCGCCAACCTGCGTCTCCGACGCCGAAAGGAGCCGCAGACAAAAAGGCAGCAGAGCCTGCAGCACAGACGCTGCAGCTGGATGGTCGAGGGAAACGGCTAAAGGAGAACTTGCGGGAAAGCCTGGCGAAGCACGAAGAGCAAGCAAAGTAGCACTTAGAAGTCACCTCTTCCTTGACGCATCCCGACGCCAAGCAGATCTTTAGCAAAAAGATGAAAGGTTTGAACTCTTTGTTGAACTCGGTGACCAAGCAGATCAAAAAGATCACGGACAGCGTCAACAAGGGAGGATACCCTGCGCGTCTTGGTGGAGCTGCACGCAAGGCTGAACACAGCGAATCCTGCCTGCCAGGACCTGACAGAGGCTGTCGCAGCTTGCGAGGCTACTGCGATCGCAGTCCGGCTCGGCGCTGCTGTGTGGGAGAAGATGTTTCAGACCAGATGCGCGCATTTCTGCTTGTACCAGGATTTCGCGAGCTATGCCCAACTTTTCCGTGCTACTGAAAAAGAGGCCGGCTGTAAAAGCAGACAGCTTCCGTGCTTTCATTGTGATGGAGCAATCCTATTGATGAACTTCGGGCATTGCTTGTGTGGGCGGAGAGAAGTAGCTAGTTGTTTCTGTGATTTTCCGATTTTGCTGTTGCTGTTTCATTCCTGTCCCCGCCATTTCCTTCGCGGCCACACGCAGGTGGCTCGATTGAAAGAGTCACTGAGCGCAGAAGACTTTGGTGATTTAGTGGTCCTGGAGTTCGAGGAAAGGCTGATCAGCTATTTGAGCAACTTTCCGGCCCAGGGTGTCGCCAAGGCTGAGAGCGATCACAGAAAGCAAGCGCAGTCGTTCTGCCAGGCTGTGGTGGCGGAACAGCAGCACCCAGATTCTGAGCTGTCAACCGCTTGCGCAGAAGTTGCTAGCATGGTGGCTGACCTGCTATCGCTTGGCGATGTCGTTGCCTTGCAGCGCGGCGCTGCGGCCATTGAGAAGCTGGGCAAGGAGCAGTCCAACAGCTCTGTCGTGCTGTTTTTTAGCAAGCACAAGGTTGGGCAGATGCTCACCCAAGCTTCAGCAGAGGTCATGGTGGAGGGCGCTGCCCGAGTCAACGTCGAAAAGGCGCTGCGTGAAGCATCCTCCGCCTTGGCCGCAGTGAAAGGGCAAGGCAAGATTGGAGAAGAAGAGCTCTCCGGTTGCGTAGCAATGTTCGTGAAGAAAAGCAAATCCGCTGAAAAAGAAATCTTGGACATGAAGAAGCAAGGCTCTCAAGTTGCAAAAGCGGCATCAAAGTCTGCGAGCGAACTGGACAGTTTGGGCATGGTCGGGTGCTAAGGGCGCGGCCCAGTCTTGACGATGAAGCAGTGAAGAGATGCGAGGCTGAGGCTGAAGCACGAAAGTTGACTAGTCAAGCTTTGCTGAGCGGCTCGTGGCTAGCGAGCATGCCCAAAGAAAACCTGCGCCTGTGCCAAGAAATGGCGCCCAAAAGAGCTGCTTGGGGGTCCGCGACCTTGACGTGGGGCTCAATGTGCTCCGGCTCAGAAGGCCCAGCGTGGGTATTGGGCGCTTTGAATCAGCTCTTTGAAGAGAATGGTTCCACCTTCCAGCTTCAGCACGCGTTTTCTTGCGAGGTGGCCGCAGAGAAAAGAAAGTGGATCCATGCATCTTCTGCGCTCGCGGAGCCGGCTTGTGCGAGGATTTTCGCCCGCGAGGCAGGTAAGCCTGAGCCCGACGTTGATTGGGCTGCCGTTTTGGCGGCCGCTAACGCGGACGCCCCGTGTGTCGTCTTCTTTGACATTTGTGAGATGGGCGCTGCCCAGGCTGATTGCTGGGAGCATGGCCCTGGAACATGCTGCGTGCCAAGCGTCGATCTTCTGATCGTCGGAACGAGTTGCAAGGACATGTCTCGTGCAAACTCAAGCACTGCGAGAAATCAGTTAGTCTTCTCGGCGGAGACATCCAAAGGCGGCAGCGCCCAGACCTTTCATGTCTTGATGCAGTATGTGGAGCGCCACAGGCCTTTGATGGTCCTCTTTGAGAACGTCGATTCGATGGAAGACGTGACACCCGGCAAATTTCCCAAGCTTTGCTTTGCCTGCCAGTCTGTAGTGCTTTCCTTTGTTTTATTTCCATGCTTAGCTGAAGCAAGCAAGATGATGATGGCAGTTATGCTAGGCAGCTGGATCGTCTGCAGCCACTGTCTTGCATCCTTACTTTCAGCGCTACTTCGTCAGACATTGGATCGTAATGTTTGGGCATGCTCCGTCAGGAAAGCAGGAGGGTCCTCGAACATGGACGTGTTCGTCAACCAAATGGCCGCCCACGGATACGAAGGTCAGCCCGTCCTCACAGACAGCGCTGAGTTTGGCTTGCCAGCGCGCCGCAGGCGTTTGTATGTCTTTTTGGTGCGCGTTGAAGCCAACCCTCTACTTTCATTTCACGACAGAAGCGTGGATTGCATTTTTTCTACGTTCAGCGCCCTCCTATCTGGATGCGTTCGGAGCGGGCCATGTGCGTCTGAAATTCTTCTTGGCGACAATGACCCTGCTGTGGCTTCTGAACTACTTGTGAAGCAAGAGCGGCGCGAAGAGCTGGCTCAAGCAAAGCCGGTTGCTGCTGACTGGCCAGACCAGCACATGAGGATGGCCGCCGCCTTGCGTGTGAAATGGGGGCAGGGGGCGCAGCCCGAGCTTTTGAAGAATCCTTGGTACGCAACCTTGACAGATAGGGAAAAGGACGCCGTCCCGTTGTTGCAGGCCCAGCTTCCTGCCACACTGATGCGAGACTTGTCCCAAAGCATCGCGCGCGCTAACGCTGCTACCTGGAAGGCAGAAGACAACAAGCACTTGGCTCCCACCATGCTGCCCAAAATGAACGTGTGGCTCGAGCCCGCCGGGCATCGCAAGGTCGCGCGCCTGATGCTTGGCCGGGAAGGCTTGTTGTTCCAAGGGTTTCCAGCGCTTCTCTTCTTGGAGATGCTGGACGCTTTCCAAGCTGCATCGAGCGCCGCCGGCGTTGTGAACCACGGTGCGCAGCACTCAGGCAGCAAGAGCGGGCCGAAGAAGTCGAAAAAGCAAAGCGGCGAGAGGACGGACTTCAGGCCAAAAGATCTCTTGCGCACCTGGCGCCCAACAGAAGTCCTGATGCAAGACTTAGCAGGCAATGCTATGTCGCTGCCTGTCGTCATGACGATGTTGCAGTGCGCGTTTGCTTCGGCGAATTGGCGTTCTGGTGCTGTTAGCCGAGCTGCGGACGCACCTGTCTCCACGCAAGAGGACTGGCGAGATGCCATGTGCTCTGTTTTTTGGGTTGCCTTCTTACTTCTTGGGACTTGTGTTTATCCATTTATCTATCTGTATCTCTAAAGCCGCAAAGAAGATGATGTGTAATTTGTAATTTGTAATTTGTAAGCGGGTTCAATCGTTTCGGGAGCGCTCGCTCTTGTTATATCGTAACTGCGAAAGCTCTGCAGGATGTCGCCTCTGCCATGGCCGCACTCCGGGCAGTCGGGCTGTGCGAGGCCGCGGGCCATGGTGCTGAAGATCCCGAGCTTGCAGCCAGAGTGCCAGAGCCTCCAAGCAGAGGGTTGGCCAATTTGAAGCGCAAACTCAAAGAGCGGAAGTCGCAATGATTTTCCGCGGAGTGTCGGAGGGGGAGAAAAAAGGGATGCGCAAGGGCATGCCGCTGGTGCTTTCACAGGTTGCTTTTGAGGGGCTCCTTCGGGGCGAAACTTGATATAGGAGAACGCTCAGCATTGATTTCACCAATTGCAGTGATCATGCGCAGCTACATTTTTATGTTGAAGTGGCCTTGCTGTGGCTTGAGCCTAGGTTGACGCGCAAATTGGCTTCTTTCAAACCCTTGCCCGGAAATACTGAATATAGTGTCATCGTGCCATGAGGCCACTCTATCATTGGCTTGCCATGGCCTAGTTCCCCAGCGCGTTTGACAGTAATTCTACAAATGAAAACAAATCAGGCACAAGTATGAATTTGTTGCACAATGAAAACTTGTTTAGAAAGTTTCAAAAACAACTTGTTGCTGTTTTAATACTTTAAAAGAATGTTTGAAAACAACTTTATAGAGACTTCTTACTTTTTCAAACAGTTGAAATGTTGCAACAGAAGTTGCCGAAAAGAAGTTGTGAATTCTGTGGCTTGTTGAACCTGGGTTTAGGCTCCAACCCACAGGCCTTCTAAAAAACACCCAATCTATTTCTTGTGTTTTTTTTGGGGGGGGGGGCAGGAAATGTGTTTTTTTCCTTCCCCTCAAAAAACAGCGCCGCTCGCCCGCGCCCTGCGCCTTGTTCTGCGGCGCTTCCGCTGCGCGCAGCCTCGAGGCGTGGCGTTCGATCGGTACCGCTTCGGCGGGGAGATGGGCTTCGACGTGGAGACCCAGGCGCTTGGCTGCGTTCATGGCTTCGCATGGGTTCGCAAGGGGCTTGAGACCTGTGGTGTTTTGATCACGGGGTGGTCTCTCCAGCCACTTTCTGAAATACTTTTGGGAATCTGAACGCGTCTACTTGTGGGTTAGTTAGCCTTTGGGAAGCCCGCGTTAGTTGTGTGAGCCGAGCAGCAAAAGTAAGCTTGGCTAAAACATGTTCCGTTGCCAATGATTGAGTCACTGATGCTTTGCAAGGAATGTTGAAAGATTGTGAAGTCAATATGTTTCTTGCCTGGCGCGTGCCCGCCACGACATCAAGCTCTCTGTGAAGACCTGCTGTGGAATGCCCGCCACATGATGCCCACACAGTTGCCGGGATGAATGCACAATAAGTTTTTCAATATCTCGGGATTCCATGCAACTGTTCGAACCATTGCAGGATGACCTGCCAATTCAGAGGGAGGCATTATATTACCCGGCGAAAGTGGTGCCATTCATAAGCACACGAGATCAGGATTTGCGTTGTTTGTTTACATTGCCTTTCTTTCAACAGACATGAAGGAGGAGGATTTGCCTTGCTCGTTTGCATTGCCCTTCTTTCAGCAGGTTTGTTGAGCACTCCTGACACAGCACACGCTGGTGGTCACAAGGATGGCACGGATCCAGTGGTCTGAGTGACTGACGCACGCTTCTGCACAACTTTCCTTGCAAGTTTCAGTAATTAATCCTTGGTCAGCCAGAGAACTGTAAAGAAAGGCAAATCAGCCCATGCAGAAGTGACCCTTCGAGAACACGGGTATATTAGGAGTGCACGCGGTTTTGTCTTCGGAGGAGATTGCACTCGCAGGATTTTGATCCCATCGGCTGGTCTGCGAGTGAGACCAACCCGCCAGGCACTCGGCTTGTCAAACGAGCTCTGACGGCCGTGTATGGGAGCCGCGTCAAGATTTGCCAGTGGTTTTGTTGGCTTCTACGGTTATGGGGGACCCAACCGACACCCGCACAAGAGCAAGGACATGAATTGTATTGTTGCATGAATGAAATAGGGATGTTTCACTCCTTGCAAATTGTGACTCGGATCCAGCTCGGACCTTTTCAAATGTGAACTTTTCACTTTTCGCCGGGAGCAATCCATGCTCGCTGTGATGGAGCTGGCTGAAGATGAATCGGAGCAGGGCGAGCCATATTTCGCAGTGGTCCTCCGAAGGGCTAAGTTTAATCTAAGCCGATCCTCCCCCAAGTTTTGTTCATTCCCCTCCCGACGATTCCAGTTTGTGGACCGGGTCTGGTAGCAAAACGGCGTCTCTTCTGGTTCGATAGGGGTGCATGTCCATGGAAGCTTGGAGGGTATGCTTCTGGGAGATTTCAACCCCTTGGCTCCACGAGGAGCTCCCCAGACATGAATGAAGTCCTGACCATGTGCTCATACGAGGCTTTTTTCCACAAGCTGTATTGGGCCCACCGCAATATGGGTGTGTCTGTTTTTGAAGGGACGCACTGAAATCGCGGGTTTGCCTGTGGTTTCCCTTTGAACCTGCCAAAAAGGGATAGCCTCAAGAAAAGATACCCCACGTTTCAATTTTGCCGGACCTCCGAAAACGGTTCAGTGGAGATGGAACAGCTTTGGAAGATCAAATACAGCTGACCCAAACGGGGGCCGATGTGTCTCAGCTTTTCAATTGGTGGAGTTTGGAGCCCGCTGGTTTCGTGGTCTTTGGGGTGGTTTCCCATTGACCCTCGAGAAATGGAGCGTCAAAATCCAATCCAAAGCACTAACAGATGTCTAGATGTCCTTCGCAACCAACCAGACAGAGGGTTCTTTCAAACAAAGACGAGCACTCGATTTGTCGCATTGTTGTTCCAATTGGGTGTAGCCTGAACAATTCGGCAGTTTTGAGGAACTACAAACCGGGTTTCCTTTATTTCCCTTTTGGGAACCTCCAAATGTGACAGTTTTAGTGGACACCGCCAGTAAATTGATCAACATTTGACTTGACTTAGGGTTTGTTTGGGATGCACCGGTGGCCCCAGACAAACCTGAAACCCTCCGGATCATAGGTGTCCTTTAGATGGGTTAGTTTGATATAGATGGGTTCCACTGGCTTGATCGCCCCATTTTCCCCCTGTGAAGCCCATCCGATGCTTTCGCTTCAGCCAGAGGCCCCCGCACTTGCACCGCGCGGTGCTCGACTTGGAAAGCGGCGAGCTCGTGGAGCGGCGCAGAATACCTCTGCTGGACCCGCGGGGGAACTCAGCGCCAAAGCATCGACGGGTGAAACAAAGAAGCGATGGACGGGCTGGTTTTTGGTTGGTGCCCCTCGGCGATGTTTTTTTTTGTAAACGCTTCGCGTTGCCCGCCTCGGCCAGTCTGCTGTTGGGTGGCTTTGAGGTATAAACCATGCTTTAGTTTGCCTTGAAGTCTTGTTTGCGTGAGCTGGTTTCCAAGGTAGAGGGTGGGTGCATGTCTGCGTGTTTTGACATGGCTTCAAGGGCTAGAACGAGAGCTGCAGAGAGCTACGGAATGGCAGTGAGTTTGGGCCAAGCGAAGGTGAATGTGATTCGTTTCTTGAGGGGGAAATGGTGTTGGCTGGAGTGGGACTTGTTTGAAGCGGGGTTTGGCAGGTTTCTGGGGAGCGATTAGATTCTATGTTTTGTTGATGGGGGGGGGGGTTGGATAGGTTGGAGGGAATTTGACCGAGGGATTTGGCCGGTTTCTGGGGGGAATTTGGCCGGAGTTGGGCCGGCTTCGGGGGTGGTTCGCTCAGTTTGATTGGCTTCTGCGGTTTTTAGCGGATTTGGTCACTTTCTAGATGACCGGTTCTAAGGGGGATTTGGCCGGTTAGAGGGATTTGACCAGAGGATCGGCTTTGAGGGGCGGAATTTACTGATTTGAGGGAGGGCAAGACCCCTTTCTTGAAGGGATCTGACCACTTCCCGGCCATCAGGCGGACGGGGTTTGGAGGATTTGGAAGAGGTTCTGAGAAGGTTTGGCCGCTTCCTGGCCCTGGGGGCAGAGGCGAATTTTAAAGGAGCTCGGTCTTTTTGAGTCGGTGCCCATTTTTTGGTGGCTCCTCAAAGGCAAGCCGCCTTCGGAAAACCGACATGTTGTGAAAGGCGTCGCCAGTTTGAGCCATGAGGGCTCTGAAAACTTAACTGCAGCAAAGCTTGCCGGATCGCACGCGCCCGATTTTCGGCACGCTCCATTCTCGGTTGCCACCTGAGATGGGTGGCTTTGAGGCCCGTTTTGGTGGGTTTTCAAAGCGAGAGCCAAGAGGAAGCCCGAATCATGGGTCCGAATCCTGAAAGCAGACAGACCTGAGACAAGTTTGTGCTTAACTGCCTTAGTTCTGGCATCACGCTTTTAAAACCAACCCCCGACTCCAAATTCCCTCTTTTGCTAGGGTATGATGCCGATCCTCCACTAAACAAGCAATTAAGGTTTTTCAGAAAATACCAAGGGGACCGGTTCACAAAAAAAGACAAGCCCGGATGGCTCCTTCCTTTCAGCCGGTGTCTCGTACCCAGGCAGCGCGGAGGCTCGACGGACCGGGAACAAAGTCGCTCGACTGGTGGGGGTCTCCAATAAGATTTGCCAGTCTCACCACTTGATTGCTCTCGGGTTGGATCTTTAGGCTTTAACTTCTTGGAAAATAAAAGTTGCCGTTTTGGTCGTTTTGGCGCTGAACAGAGTAGTGATCAACAAGGTGAACAAGGATACTCGATGCGCGCTTGGCCATGCTCGGTGGCATGCACAGTCTTTCAGCGAGTGGCAGGTGATTCAACAGCTGGTCAGCTCCTCTCAGCCAGATGTTGGCTGTCTTTCTTCGGGGACCACTCCACGATGGCTTCGGTTTCCTTTCGGTTTCCACCAACAACAGGTACCGACGCAAAACAAATTGAGAGGCGAAGTTGCGTTGGTTCTCAGGGCTCCTGAGTTGGAACGATGGTGTCCTTTCGGGGAATCCCCAAACCGTTCAGTTGCAAAAGAAAAATGCAACACTCCTCACGAACCAGGATCGAGGAACGGAAAAAACGCAAAACACCTCGAGTTTTTTTGTATAAAGACATTTCCCTCGAGTGACTCCAGGCGTGGAGGTGCCCGTTGACATGCCGACCTTCCATCCCTTGCGTGATGGCCAGAAGGCTTGGCCGTTGCGGATCGCACCGGCCTGGACCCTACCAGCAGCTTTATGTTTCTAAATAAATACATCCAGATACCTATTATGCCTGTATGTAAAATATATATGTGTATATGTATATATGTATATATGTATAGTATATATGTATATATGTATATATGTATATATGTATATATGTATATATGTATATATGTATATATGTATATATGTATATATGTATATATGTATATATGTAGATATGTAGATATGTATATATGTATATATGTACATATGTATATATGTATATGTGTATATATATAAATATATGTATATATGTATATATGTATATATGTATATATGTATATATGTATATATGTATATATGTATATATGTATAGTATATATGTAGATATGTATATATGTATATATGTATATATGTATATATGTATATATATATACATATGTATATATGTATATGTGTACATAAATAAATATTTATATATGTATATATGTATATATGTATATATGTATATATGTATATATATATATATATATGCATACACAGATACTGGCACACACACGCACACCACGCACGCATAAATATACAGCCACAGACACCGTACTCATCAGGAGAGTGACCGGAGCAGCCTTTTGCCGGGAAACCGTCACTCACGGAGGCCCGCTACTGCTACTTCTCGGGCGCGGCGCGGCCAAGGGGCTGGTTTCCGTTCCGCTCCTTGCTGAAGGCACGGTTGGTCGGGGAGCGATGGGCAATCAGAGCGGGTATGGTCAGCAACATCAGGCCTTCAACGAAACAAAGACATATCTGAGTGGGGGCCCGGGATTCATAAACGCCTAGTCCTCTAGAGCGGTGGAGGCCCCTTTCAACATGGTCTGAACTCCTATAAATCCTGCCATGTGTTCTGGCTTCCCATTAGGCAGAGATGCCAAGCTTTTGGTCTTTTTTTGGGGTCTAGGCTGATCTGCAGAGCGGTGCAGTGGAGAACTGGGATGCCGGAGATGGGTGCTCGCCTGAGCTTCGATCGCAGAGTTGCACACCTGCGGTCTGTCAAGCAACGGAGCTCAGGCATCAAGGCTGGGCTACTGGCCATCCTCCACGAAGCCTCCAACAGAGCTCTGGAGCATACAAAAAAGGCCCCAAATGAAAGCAATTGTCATTATATGCTCAAAAGGTATGTTGGAGGGGTCTTGGACACCCCGTTTAGATCTTCATGTTTATTTGTTGACACAGTGTTCGAGCTGGTTATATTGGGAGCCCCAAATTCACTCTGAGCAACACTGTCAAAATCCGGCGGGATGGATGCGTGTTCTCATCTGCAGCTTGCTGCACTGGGACGGACTGAGCACCTCTCCCTGGGAGGGCCATGCCGTGCCGCTGCTGCCGAGGTGCATTGTCGCCGAGCCCCTCTTTCTGCCGAACGGTGCTGGTGGCTCAGAGTGGCTTGGGCACGACCACGAAGACGATGGCTGGATCGTCAGCGCCTTGGGCTGCATGAGCCAAGACGAATTCTCCGCGTCAATGTGTCGGGGTACTGGCAAGCGCACAGAGTCGTGACTTTGGTGCATGTTGCTTGGATGTTAGGACTTTAACTTTTTGCCCACGAATGGGTTTTCCATTAAACCACGAAACGTTAAGCTTGTGCCAAAGGAGCAGAAAGCAACCGAGGTGATGTTGAACCCGTTTGGGTTGAAGCCGCGTGTCCGAGGTGTCCGAGGTGATTTAGAGGTGGCTTGGGAAGCCCGTGGGTGGCTTCCAAAGAGAAACCAACATGACAGCAACCACACGGGACTGGGGGGGCCGGCCGGGCGAGGGGGAGTTTCTCAGTCGAGACGAAGCCAGGGGGGTGTGTGATGTGGGCGCGTCTTTATTTTTTTGGCAGCCTTGCTAGGAATTCAGAGGCAAACCACCCATTGCCGTTTTGGGCGTGTGTGCCTCAAAAACCCAAATCTGCCTCTACTCACCATACATTTGAGTTTATATATATATATATGTATATACACATGTTTTTTTTCTTTTCTGGGGGGGGGGAGTGTTGGTGGTGCATACGTAGTATACACAACCCCGACTCCCTTTCCGCCCACGACTTTCCGAGACTCCGAGACTCCCAGACTCCGTTTCAAGTGGCCCAGGTGAGCCACTTGCTCAAAACCCGGGTAGATGAAGCTTAGTATGGGACGATCCCCTTGCCATAAATAGCGAATCGGAATTCCGCCTTCTTAGTTCTTGAAGCATGGGATTACGACCATTTTAATACCGGGCTTTGAGCAAGTGACTCCATATGGGGTTGGAACCCTTGTTTGGAACCCCCTTAGTTCTTGAAGCATGGTTCTGGGCATTTTTCTTCCCCAGAATTAGCTCCCTTTTTTGCTTTTGCTTTTTCGGGGTCCCTTTGTTTTCCCCTAACCAGGCAAAAAAAAGAGCATATTTTGCTGGGGTCAACTAATTCCAGCCAAGTTTTGTACCGGGTTTTGATCATGACTCAGGTGTGGTGCACGACGGGGCACGGGGCCAGTGCCGGCTGGTGGTCCTGGACGCTCGGCGACTCGCTGAGGGCCCGGTGGTGGAGTTGGACGCAGGGCCTTTGAGCCCCTGGGGACGCTCGGCAGGAACGAGGAAGGAATGTGGCTCGTGCCTTTTTTTCGTGTTTTTGTTGGGAGGGGGGCATTTCCATGTTCCATGTCCTTCTTTTTTTGAATGCCTTTCCTTTCTGGTTTTAAAGGGAGTCACTGCTGGACATATTGTCTAATCTTTTCCAGGGGGCGAAACAGCAAATTAAAGCCATGTTTGCGATGGTTGTAAAGGGAAACCACATTCGGAAACCCGTTCTGGCGGGTCCAAGTTCTGAAAGGTCCAAGTTCTGAAAGAAAGACGAGCCACCCACATGGGGCTGTGGTGGTCAAACATGGTTGGAAACTCCAAAATGACTTGCAACCTGATAAATGGAAACATGGACTACGAACAAAAAGGTCCATATCCTGGTTGTGACTAATTTTAACCCATGCCCATGTAAGACATTCCGAGGATTTGCGAGGAATTCCGTAACATTCGAAAGCCAAAAAAGCAAAAGAAGGAACACACATTCCGCATAGTCTGAAACATCCACGTCCGTTTAAAAATCTGTGAGATCTGAGCAGTTCTCTTCTGGTGTCAACTTTGGATTCGAATCGCCCCTTCAGGCCTCGCCAGAAATATACGCCCAGGCGTGCATTCCTGCTGGGCGCCGGGAACCGTTTGATGCCGCCGCGTTTCTTTTTTTTAACGGCCGCTTCGGCCGCTGACGGGGAGAGGTTTCAGCGCCGGAGCGCGAAGCGCTTTGGGCTTTTAAGCGAGCGGACGCTTTCCGCGAGCCCTCTGAAAGCGATCAGGTACGAGGTCAAAATGAAACCACCAGGCCGCAGATTTGAGTCCTTGGTTCCAATGACCAGGGTTCTATTTTGTACCCATTCTTGACCCAAAGCCATTTCTCCGCTGCCAGCTTGCCTTTCGAGAGCATTGTGCTGCACGTTTCCGGTCGCCTCACATGGGTTGTTGAGGACGTCAGCAGACAACAACCCCAAATGGCCGTTTCTTCGAAACCACCGAACAAGGATCATTGTTTGCCGCACTTTTTTTTCTCCCAGCGGCCTCACATGGGTTGTATGAAGGGCTTAAGGCCTTATGAAGGGCAGGCTCCCTCCCCTTCTCCCTCCCCAGCCCTCAGGGATCAGGCAGAAGTGCGCGCATGGAAGCTGCAGTGAGGCCGGTACGGAGCCGGCCATCAAGAAGCTCAAGGAACAGGGCCGAAGCGCCGAAAAAGTCGCGGCTTGGGCCGGGGAAAACTTTGGCTTGGGTTGGTCTCAAAGACCACGGACAAAAGCGCAGAGGCATTGTTTTGGTTTCCTTTTTAAACCAAGCCAGAACAAGTGACCTCCAAAAATCACATACCCATTTGTTTGGGGTGCTCATGGTGCCTTTTTGATTCCAGGCCTCTCTGGTTTGCGCAGCGTTTGCGCCGCGTTTGCGTTGGGAAGACGCCAGGAGTTAACTCCCGTGCACAAATTGTAAGTTCATCAGAGATGTCGCTTGATCATGTTGGCAATGCGTCTACCGACGGGAAGACTTGTTCAGAGTTAGAGCATCTGCAAGTTGCGTGGCGGCAACTTGCAACAGTGCGACCGATCTGAGCCATACTGTGGATGGACAAAATCCTGCACCAGGTTGAAACAACTGGAAACCATTGCTTGTTGGCATTTGCAGGGGCATCATCCATCCAGGGTTTCTTAGGTGGTGCAGGATTCGTCCATCCACAGTATGGGTGTGGCACAAGATTTAGCAGCGGGGGTTGCGCATGTTTTAGTTTACTTTTCCATTTACCAGACTTCCATTCTGGACCCCGTTTTTTGAGACACACCCATATAGACATGTTATCAACTATTCTGACTTGAGAATCACACCAGGAGACGCAAGTCACCAGAATGGTTCGTTGCTCCCAAACCGCGCAAGAAAAAACCTCGGGGCACACGATTTGTTTTGAGTTGCCGGTGAATTCAGAGATGCTGCGAGAAAGATTTTAGCAGACGGACCCGCTATTGGTAGCTTGTTGACGAAAAGAGCCATCATGCGGACCCGTCTCAAAAAATAGAGAACCCCCCCCAAAATGATTGGTATCCGTTTGGTTTCCCTTCAAAGCCATCCCAACAAATTTGTACCAACTAAAAAAAGGCACCCATCTCCCCCTTCATCATTTTACGTTACGAGCACATTTGCCCTGCCCGAAGGATGCCGCGGAAGCGGCGGGCGCCATGCAAGCACGTCTGCAGGGCAACCCGGAGAAGACCTCCTGGGCTCGTCACTTCAGGTTGTTTGTTCGTTCGTTTGTTCGTTTGTTTGTTTATTTGTTTGTGCTTGATCCAGCATTTTGTTGTCTCGTTCTCCACGCATTTCTTGGGCTTCATGTTCAGGAGGTTCGAGTTTCTTGGCAAAGGTTTGGCGGTTGTTTCATCTCTTGAAACGGACATTTGCGTCGAAGAAGCCACGGACGTGGAGCAGCCTATGGGTTTGTCACACGCACCGAAGACCGTGGAGGGTGGCAACGTTCCACTTGCCAGGCTGGTTTCCATCTCCGGGGGGTAGTTTTTTGTTTCCCCTGAAAGGGGGGGAAAAAGGTAGCGGTGGGAGTTCCATGCTTGCTTCGCAAGTGTTCTGATCCGGCTTGCTTTTTGGCTTGAGGGAGGTTTCTTGGTGGCTCCCAGCCACCCGGTTCCTCAGCCTTTTAGAGGTTTTTAGGATTTAGTGGTAGTTTCCATTTAACCCACTAAAAGTTAAACTTTTAGCGGGGGATCTGAGGGCAGCCCAGGGTTGAACGTGTGCCTTTGCTATTCTTTGGCACGGTCGAGCCATGCGCGGCCCATTTGACCGATTCCCTCTCGACTTCACTCTGCCAGATGTGAGCGCCCGATTCACTTGCGCAAAGGCAAACGCCTTCCCTGCAGGTTTTCGAGCTTTGGCGTTTCCGGAGATTTTCCGGGGTCGACTGGAGATGTTCTGGGGTCGACTCCCTTTGGCTCAGGCTGAAGACCTCGGGGGGCTTCCACACGGATCTCATGAAGTCGCAGCCTCGATGCAGCCATCCTGAACGCGGTCAGGGTTCTACTTTTTGACTATCCCAGAATAGACTTAAACCCAGGGGTGGTTCATTCCCCCCAAAAGGAGAAACCCTGCATTTAAGTCTATCTTGGGGTACCCTGCTTCTGCGTGTCTGCAAGCATGACGGGTTGGGGCAAGCGTGCGCGGAAGACGCGTGAGGCCTGCCCAGGCCAAGCTTGAGGAAGCTTTGCAGAGGCGGGAGAAGAGTCATGCCGGTTGATGCACACATGTGGGCTGTCATGCGTGTTGACACAGAATGCCTTTTGCGGCTTGAAGCACAGCGAATCTCCATTCTTGTCCGAAGCCTCGCAAATTCTCAGCGCAATTAGTTGCGATGGCCTGTGCACGCGTGAGATTTTTCAATAGGAGCAACGATTATAGCACAGGGTTGAGGGATGAAGGGGTTTATCATCACTTCTGTGATACAAGAGAATCCCCTTTTTGTTGTGGTCATTTCTCACAGCCCTGTTATAGCATCCAGGATCAGACATGTTCAGCCGGTCTTTCTCCAGTTCAGCCCACTCAGCGCTTGTGAAGGCTACTTCCCAAGATGAAGCCTCCAAGGTGCTGGGTCCTTAGCGTGAGTGTCTTGCTTGTACTTGCGCTTGTGAAGCCTAGCTCAAAGTTCAAGCCCGGGGTTTATCCAGGTGATGTGTACATGAACATTACCGGCAAGAACATCAAGGCAGCTGCATTTCTGCTGGGGGAGCCAGACTGCTCATAACAGTTCTGGAAGGCTTTTGATTTGCCACCCACGCGGTGAGTGACCAGATGCGTCAATTGCCGCGTTTTTTTGTGGCAAAGCTGAATGAACAGGTTGTCAGCCTCGCTCAACTTGTCCGTAAGCTCAGATGGTATTTCTCTTCCTTACCTTCAGTCTCCGTGGGAAGAGGTGGTGGATGGCTGCCGAAGCATTCGGCCCATGAGGTGGCTACCTGTGTGTCGACATATGGTGCGTTTGGGGGTAAGATTGGGAGGGAGGAATTTGCGTTTGGAGGCTTAGGGTTCAGGTTTGGCTTACGGCTTAGCTTTGCGGCACACACCTTAAGCATGAGTCGAGATTCTTGATGGGAGGCGATCTGTTCCGTTGAATCCGATCCATTGAAATGATGACAACTCTCGTAGATAGCTAGAACATGCCTATTTATGCTGATGGGTTTGTTCAGTTGTTTGACTGGTTTGATCTATCTCTGCAAAAGATCCTGTATTCTCCACCTCAACTGCAAGTGAACTCAGAAGACGCAAGCATCCCCTTTCACGTGAGAGCATCATACTTGTCACCGTGGGGTTGGCCAGGTACTCACCAATCAAGACTTAGCCCTCTCTTCCGTCGGTTGATCCCTTCTCAAGAAGGGAAGGCAGGACACCTTTTTTGAATGGAGAGGATGCACGCCGCAAAAAAGTCCTTCCGACGAAAAAAAAGTAAAACAGAAGAAAACAACGACCACCAAATTTCGCCCCTCGCCGGCCCCGGACTACTCCTCCTCGGGCGACCCGTCGACCCGTCGACGCGGAGCGAGCAGACGAGAGGCCGGCACCAGCCCCGCGGAGATCGTGCCGCTGCTGGCGAAGCAGCTCTGCTCCGCAGTGCTCTGGGAGCCCTCGGTGCGGCTGATGATCAAGGCCGCTGGGTCGCGCCCCGCGTCAAGCGTCGGGCGTGCGTCCCGCGAGAGATGGCGGGGGTGCGAGAGATTTTTCATTTTTTTCTCGGATGGTTTAGCACCAAGCGCCAAGAGGCGGGAGATGTTTTGAGATGGGGGGCCGCATGTGCTTGGGGCAGGTGGTTCCTTTTTGGGGCCCGAGGTCTTTTTTTCAGGTTGGGCAGGCTGTGGCAGGGTTCCCTAGTGGGGAGCAACGGAAGGCAAGACCCAACCCGTCCTCATCCTTCCACTACTCGAAACTTGCTCCAATCTAAGCTTAAACCCACCCGAAGCCTATTCCCATTCTAATCTCATCACAGCCCCACCCTAAATTGAATGTGAACCAGAACCCCACCCCCCGTTCTAATCCCACCCCAAACCCTAGAGCAACTCAATCAAACTTCTGCTCTATGCCCATCCCAAACTCAGCATCAGCCCATGCTGGACTTGCACCCGTCCGAGACTTGCACCTGCTCGAAGCCCCGACCCCAAGCAGATGCCGCGCAGCCTACCCAACACCAGCACCAAGCTTTGAGTGCCTCGCGCCAGCGTAAGCCATCGGAACTTGATCAGCTTTAGTCAGGGACCAGGCAATTGGGCGCTCGGCAGACTAGCATGGGTCTACGGCAAGCTGATATTTTAGCCTTTGGATTGCGAGTTTTTGTCCAGGAAGCTCAGTTTAGTCTACCGAAGTCTTGTTTCAGGTTGTGAGAAGTTTGTCTTGGCCACCTGGAAGGAGTTGCGCTTCTACCCTGGTAGGGCGGGTCGGCCTAGCCTAGTCATGAAGCTTGATATGCTTTTGTCACGCAGACATTGGGCTGCAATGGCAAGAAACTGAGTTTGGTCTGCAGCGGGCTCATGTCAGCGGCCAGGACGCAAATCCCTCTTTCTGTGTGCCTGGACTTGGTCTCTTTTTGCCAGAGGTACTCTCTTTCGGGAAACGAAGAAGCTGCGAGCGGCGGACACGCCGGCTTTCCATAGACGAAACACAGCTTGTGATTTGATTTTGCCTGCCTGCCATACCAAACCTGGAACAAATCACAGACTCTGAAGTTGAGTTCTGTTGGAGTTCCGCAGCTGAATGGTTGATGGTGCAACGCCGCTTTACTGCCTCGCAAAGCTGCATCCATGCAGTTTTTGCACATTTGGGACAACTCGTACTTTTTGCCAGCTAAATTGCTTCGTATTAAGATAGCTCCAGATGACGGCGTGGCATAATGGCAAATTTCCCCAGCTGAATGTCAGCATCGGGGAAAACAGGAACCAGAATAGCGCCACCAGCATGAAAGAATGGATACAAGGGATGGCCTGAATCCGAGCAACTACTTCAGGTTGTGTTTTTTTCCGGATGAGATCAATCATCAGGGCAACGGGCCACTTATTTTGATTGTTCTAGGCCGCGCCTCGCAAGATGTTGAACCTGCTTTAGTCCCACCAGTAGCATGAATCAACCGCATGAAGTGGAGCGGGGCCGAAAGTTACAAAGCTACAGTCGCTACTCCTGCATTGATTGTGTCGTTGTTTGTACTGGCATTTGGACAGGTGCAGGGTTCCTCCAAAGAATTGTCATTTCATTCCCATTTCCCAGAACAACTTTTGCTATGTTTCGTATCGCGAAGAGCACAAAGAGGAGCTCATTCGGCCCAAACTGGGCTTTCAAACAAGAAGCTCGAGTATCAGTAGTAAGGTATGCTTCCAATCGGGATTCCCGGCCACTGCAGACAAGACTCTTGACCTGAAAAGGCCGGGATCACGGAGTTCTACGAGGTTGGCCCTATGAAGCAGCTGAAGGCCTGGCAATGCTCATAAACCACAAGGGTTGGGGCATGCTTTTGTGACCTGCGGGCGCTCCGTTTTTTTCCCTTTTTTGTTTCCGAGTTTTGAACACTCCGATTCAGAGGCACATGCCCAACCAGGGAGGGAGTTTACAAGACGTTGGTTGCGGTCTGTTTGCCTCTCTCTCGCTCTCCTTCTCTATTTTTCCTCTCCCTTTTTCTGTTCTTGAAGCTCTTGAATAGATCCGAACTGGTATGTTGTCAGTTGCCTTTGCGAGGTTGACCAGTGTCCAACTGCAGATGTCCACTCCAATCCGCTAACTACGGGATGGTTGTTCCGGCGAGCCAGCGCACCTTTTTATTGACGAAAAGCACGCTCCAGCAAACTCATTGCATCTGCACGGGGCCCGTTTCTGGCAGGGCCGCATTTTATGCGAGAAACTATGTGCACGTCTTACTCAGCCAGTATGAATGCCGGTTTCGCCAGCTGCCCCAGTTAGAGCAGCAAGAACAAGGGCCAAACCCTAGCGCAAGAATAAAGCGGGGGTCACACACACACACACAAAAACAACAAGTGCCACGGGCATGACATAGAATCAGGATTCCACAGTATGCACGGAGGTCTTTGACCATATCTCCAAGGTGGCTCACGTGAGTTTGTCTTTGTTTGTGGCTTTGGAGACAAAAATAAATCCAAGCAACAGCAGGATGGAGAGATCTATTGGCCCTCCCCATTTTCCCACACCTGTCATGGAGCAAATCCAAGCATGCAGCACGCCATCTAAGGTCAAAATCACTCAACGACTGGAGATTCATCTTATTGTGGTTTAGTGGTTGAAATCCAAGTCCACTTAACTGCTAAAATTTGACAAGGTTTAGTGGGAAATCCCCACTTTTCTGCTAAAACTTATTTCTTTTTGCTCCCCTTCCAACGTCAACCAAGCAAAATGCAAATCCCTGCGACGTGGAGCGCCTGAAAATCCACTGACTCGAGGCCATGATGAAGCGCATCGACCAGAGCACCTGGAGCTCGACCACGAATGTGGACGTGTGAGGATTTGGCCATGGGTCAAAATCCAAATCGTACCCCCAGTGAACATTCCCAATCCAACCACTAAAATAGCTTCTAACATGGGTGGTGAATTCACCTACCCCAAAATGGGATCCTATTGGCTTTGACCCACAGCCATTTGGGAACGGCCCACAGCTCCGAGGCGCTTTGAAGGTGTGACCAAACTGGGAGCTGGAAAGAGCTCTAGATGTGTTCGACAAAGTTGAATGGTACATGCCTGGGTTCAGGAGAATGGGAATGCTGCGGTTTTGCATTGTCTTTGAGTGCGTGTTTTCTTCCATATCGCCATTGAAGGTGCCTTGGCAATGACGTAGACAGGCATGCAGGTGTGCGACAGCAAAGCAAAAGCGCGCACGTGGGCGGTTCTGGGACCAGGTGACGTCCCTTGTGTGAATTGAAAGCGAGGGTCTCCACTTTCGCGTGGTCCACCCAGACCCATTCCTCTGCAACCTGTCCGCCGAGTCATCAAACATTTTTTCCCCAAAGCCAGTGAGTTGGATCATGTCCACAAAGGATGCCGTGTTTTTCTCATGTGTAGGGCTGCCTTACAGCTTGACACACGTTTTCGGGCGGTTGGTGTCACCGGCCTCTTGCGACAGCTTTCTTTTGCAGGTTCATTCGGACATGGGCGTCTCTAGTCCCAGCCCACGAAAGTTGTCATCGGATGTCACAGCTGAACCCTGCCTGGAAGGCAAGATCAATTCGCAATCTGATATGATGTGGGTAAAGGAAGGATAAAGATGATTGCAATGACAACAATGACGAGTAGGGTTAAGAGGAGGATGAGGATGATGAAGACGATGACGATGACGATGATGGATGATGGATGAAGATGATGATGACGATGATGAGGATGATGATGGTGGTGGTGGTGGTGGTGGTGGTGGTGGTGCTGGTGGTGGTGGTGATGGTGATGGTGATGGTGATGGGGATGATGAAGTTGCTGCTGATGATGTATGATGGTCATGATTGTTGATGACGATGACGATGACGATGGCGATGATGGATGATGGATGATGATGATGATGATGATTATGATGATGATGATGATGATGATGATGGTGGTGGTGGTGGTGGTGGTGGTGATGATGATGCTGAGGAGGAGGAGGATGATGCTGATGATGATGGTGGTGGTGTTGGTAGTGGTGATGGTGGTTGTTCGTTCTAGAAGCTGGAACATGGCATTGCGCTTGCAAGCAGCTTTTGCTTTTGCCTGTAGCGTCTCCAAAGCTCGGACCGGGCCAAAGCGAGCCCATCAAGAAGCCGAGGCAGGGGTAATCGCCTTGGCGAATTGAACAGACTGCGCTCGTGCACCTTTCCAGACTTACGATTCTGGCTTCGAAACTTTGCAGGTCTGAATCTCAAATAAGAGTCTGAAAGCCGTTTTCGCGTGGCTTGGAGCAGTGGTGGCCCATTTGAGGACCTAAGTGCTTGAAAAACTACATAGCTCAATTGCAGTCTTTTCATCGTTTTTTCCGGGCAGAAAAAAGCAAGTACGGAAAGCACTCAGCAATTCAAGGAGAAACGACCATTTGCAGGCAAATTTTGAGGGTCAGGGCTCTCACGTCAAGATGCTGGAGTCCTTAGAGGCTTCGCGTGGCGTGGCGAGCTGTGCTTGGCTTGGCTTTTTGTTTTGTTTTTTTTGGGGGGGAATCTCCAACCACCAGCTTCCACTTGGTGGTTTGGAGCCCGGTTTGGATTCGGATTTTATCGGGTCCATGGTTGTTAAAGGTAAATGGAATTTACCATCCCTTAACCACCAAACCACCAATCCAAACACCAATTAGAGGGAAGCTGAAAGAAGAGTTTGTTGGGGTGCAAAGAAAACACCCAAGTGATTTGAAGTGACTTGGAGAAGTGGTCTTTCAGCTTTCACTTTGCAAGTGTTTCATGTGGCTTGATGTATCCATGGCCGCCTCGTACTATGCAACGCCTTGCTTTGAGAGATCGAACGCAAGCTGTTCTCTGTCATAAGTGCCCGGGTCATTGCATGCAAGAGCTCATGCTGCTGCACGGCAAAGGACCATGTCAAGGTCAAGGAGATGGTTGCAACCGCACGCGCTGTGCTGGGCCACGACATCTTAGAGGCCCGGGAGATTTGAGGACAGAAGACTCGCTCGACACTGCTTGTCTGGG